TCATATTATCATGTACATTATTTAAGAATTCTCGCAAGCAAGATGATACTCTTACACCATATCCTTGACACTGAAGTAATATATGGCGACCCTTCTAATTTATAAGAGGTCTGTACTATCGTCAACATATTATACCCGATTAGCCAAAAATGTGGATGCAAAGCTGTTATAAGAAACCTTGCTTTCGAGATTATACCTTCACACTGTATCCTTGTCATTCCATCGTTTAATAGATGATTATGCCTAGGCCACATATACACCAGCATAAGCTTAAGGGCTCCATCAGATGAACAGGTGCACCCCATGACTCCCCATGGCTCCCCATGGCTCATGGCCACTTTGCATACATTCTTCCAATGCAACCAAACTTTTCTTCTTTTTTTTTCCTTGTATTTCAAATGCAACATGCAGTTGAGGATCATTCATATTATTTGGTTAACAGCCGAGCGAGACACAATCCGGAGGTTACCTTGCATGTTGCAATGTGCTCATTCGCTCTCTAAATTCTTCTTCTTGATCTTCCCTCCAAATCCCAGAAGTTTATCACAAAGTGCTTGTCTACCCTATCTAGGTCCCTTCCTCTACCCCGATTCCTTCCAAACGTTATGGGCATATTCTTTAGCATCCAAACGTGGTCACTGATTCCTTGGTTTTTCCCAAATCACTCAAGCGTGAATGTCCAAGTGCCATTCTGTCTGTTTCTGGTCTGTTTTATGGCCTTTCTTTCTTCATTTGTATCTCCTATATCGTAGATGCAACGGAATTCTAACAAATTCCTGTAGATAGTCCAAGAGTTGCTCTTTCATCTGCAGGAAATGCCATCTTCATACTTGAAATTCAAATCTGAGATTGACTCCTTATAAAAATTGCTAAAATTCTTTATAAATTGAATGGTCACGCATGATATAGATAGCGCCCTCTAAAATTCTGAAAATGGCTTTATTTGTGCGATCATCTCCCTAATGACAAGGTAAACATGTACATGTACCCGCTTTTGGATATAGATACCATACGTTAGGATATGTCTTGAGACAACTCTCTGTCCCATATTCTTTGAAGTAAGTCATTCTCCCCGAGATCAATTCCACTTTCAGAAATCCCACTCCTTAAGCTACTCATCCACAGAATCCTCCTACCCCTACCCCTCCTCCCCTTTTATTCTTCCAGTAAGTGCAAGATTTTCCAAACCATTCTTTTATATAACATGACCCAAGAAGCTCAGCCGTCGACCTCTTATATTATTCAGAATCTTTTGTCTTGTTCCTGCCATATCCATGGCATATACCTCATTATAAAAAAATGTTTCTGTCCATCAAATTCTTAGCATCCTTCTCAGAAACCAAACTTCACAACTTTCCAGTCGCTTTCTTAGGTCTAATGTCAGGGATTGTATTACTTGGCAAACTGGCGTTTGTATGAAGGAGATTCGGGTAAGGCGCTCGTCTTGGCATGCTCTTCGTCCAGCCAAATCCTTTTTTTACACGAAGTGCTTGTGATTACTTTCTAGGTCCCTTTCTCTGTCCCGATTTCTTTCAAACTTTGTAGACATACTCTTTACAGGGAAATCCAACCCAAACAGACAACTACTCTAAAAGAAAGCAGAAAATCAGAGAAGCAAACTGATGAAAGTTTCAATTAAATCTGACTAAATATAAAAAAGTTATGAATTTTTTGAAAGTTGTAATGGGTGCCTGGGCACTTCAAATTAGTTGAAGAGGTAATGTCAATGTGATGTAGTGCCAAACTACTTTCCCATGTGTTCCAACGTATAAAATGACTAAAATATTTAAAAAATCATTGCTCAGGAGGGTGTTTTCTTATAAGAGGACTTATAATAATATGTTATCTTTAATATATTTTGAGTAGTGCCCCAAGGGTGAATGAACTTAAGAGAAAAACAGATATTAATGATACTTTTGTACACAGCAAATGGGAAAGTTATCCATGCCCTATTGTCACAATCCATTGACCGAACTCCCAATTCGAGATTATCCTAGACTTTATAGTGATCTCATATTTCAAACATTCACAACTTCCTAACTATTGCCACACTTTTTCCATTCTGTTTCTGTTATTTTTCTGCTTTCATACAAATATATTTATTACAAGGGTTGGATTGCCCTTTAAATATCCACTTGTAGTCACTGATCCCTTTGTTTCCGAAATCACCCATGACTACCCAAGCACCATTTTGTCTGTTTCCACTCCATTTTTAGCTGTTTATTTTTTCTATCTACCTCCTAGATGCTATTGACTGCTTACAAATTGCTACTGGTATTGACATCATTGTATGCATATCATTAAACACGGTTGCAGTTCTAGTTAATAATTGTGAATATGTGACTTTTGCATTAGTTGTTTGCATTCATCTTCAATAGCTTTCCAGATTGGCATCAACCGGCTTTTATTGTATAGCCTGCATGTACAAATCGCCATGGTGATGGCCATGATGCAGTTCCTCCGTAATATCCATTTACTAGAGCTGTCGTCATGGTAATTTCCTTATATCTGTTTGTCCTCTGGAATATAAATTAGTTTAGTCTTTTATACAGTAATAATTGCCAAGTCTGATAACCTCCATGTGCTTATGGGTATAGTTACAAAATCAACAAATGAATAAGGGTCTTTGTATCAAATCATTGTCAATCATAAATTATATTTTTACTGTTTAGTTTTTTAGATCTTGCTTGTTATAGTGGAACGATGGCTATTGAGAGATAGTTCGTCGTCTAAGGTTACTCCAAGAAATTTGATCGTTTGGGAACAACTTAAAGGGATTTGATTCATAAATAATCTTACATCAGAAATATCATGTTTTATATACAATGTTCTTTACAAAAATACATAACATTAGTTTTATCATAATTTATCACCAATTCATTAGCATGAAACCAATTTATAATCTTAAATTAATTCCTCATTTGTCTTATTTACAAGAATATCAAAATCATTATATGACGCAACTAAATTAGTGTCTTCTGCGAAGAGGACAAAATGGAAAATGAGGAAACATTACATAAATCATTTATATAAATCAAAATACAGGTAAGGAGCGGGCCCAGTGTTGAGCCCTGGGGGACTCCACACCGGACCCTCTCATAATGAGAAATAATATTATTATGAACAGTATATTGAAAACAGTCAGATAAATAATCCTTAAGCCAATTAAATGCAATACCACGTAAACCAAAATCAGCTACCGTATTTGCCGGCGATAAGGTTGCAGCGTCGCATAGGCCGCACCCCAAACTTTGACATTTCGTAGAGGGAAAAAATCTAGAAGAAAGATGAAGAAAAAAAAGGGAAAAAAAAGGAAAGGAAAAAAGACCAAAAGGACCAAACAAAATAATCATAATTTTCTCATAGAACACTATTTTTTCTACAAACTGATACCAAATTCATCAATATTCTTATATATTTACAGGGAGTTAAACTCAAGAATGATCGTTATTTTGAGCGATGCTGCCCTCATTGTTCCGTCTTTTATATGGTCAAAGGTCATATATGTCTTTTATTTCCTCTAACTGCCACATTTCTTGACAGATTTCTCTCAAATGTTGTATGGAGGTGTGTCTTAGTACAATCTACACATCTTTAGTGTTTGGTAATGCTGCCACCTGTGTTCCGTCTGTTATAGGGTCAAAGGTCATATTTTGGTGGCTGTCGTTTGTGCGCTCTAACTGCCACATTTCTTGACAGATTTCTTTCAAATTTTCTACAGAGATGCATTTTACTCTAATCTACACATATATTGTTTCGGTGATGCTGCTCCTAGTCTTGACAATAGTCTGAGCCACTAGTGGCGATCTCTACGTCATCCATTTGTTTCAGGGAGGGGAAGAGGGAATCTTTAATTGCTGCCACTGCCGGGGGATACATTCGCATTGCGCGGCAATTCAAATTGCGATATTTCTAGTTATTATTAATTTATGCACCTATGGTACATTCTATGATACACATGTGGCAGTATTCTTTTCATAGTTCATAGTACATTTTATTTCTTCTTTCACAAACATTTGTACATTGGATTTCAAAACAAGTAACAGGAACAGCAGATTATCAATATAACAAACATAATTTGAAGTGCAATAGTAATATTCAACATACAAGTCTTGTCAATAACTAAAGAAATTCTATAAAAAATTACTTACCGGTATGTAAGATCATGTTCTGTACATAAAAGACAGAGGAGACCTTAAAGAAGCAGGGCAAACAAAAGGTATTCATGAAGCACCTCCATCGCTTTAAAATGTATACCGGTATTCAAAATGCGTAAAGCGTGACTTTTCTATGTTTAAAAGATCTGTGGATACATGTATTTGGGGTCATACATTATGTTCAATCTGATCTACAAACTGGTCTATTTGAAGGTGATGGCTCTGATGTACTATCTACAGTATGCATGATAAAGATATAATGAAGTCATGAATTTCCCCCTTTTTATTTCTTTCATTTGTTGGTTTTGTAAAGGTTAGAAACCTTTCTACAAAATACTGTCTTCCCTAACAGCACAGGAGGTTAGATTGATATATACATGTCTATGAGCAGCATTGAATTATTATTAAATGCACGATATTAGTACTTGATGTTTAAATGCCGAAAAATTCAATAAAGTAAAAATGCTATATTATGATTTTGTTTACCAAATGGGGCTGTGATCTGAATTAAACAGAAATTCTGTTTATTCACACATTATAGGATGGCATTGAAATGAGTTGATAGATGAATTTCCTTTTCCTGTATTATATCTGACACACATTGGTTTTGTAACTTCCTTAAAACTTCTTTTGTATTTTCTTGTTTTGTGATCACATAATGTATATTTGTCATTGTACACTTCTTTATACTTCTCTCTATAATTCTGCTGTGACATGATCTTTGATTTTGTTTAACCAATTCAATTCAACTCAATTCTTCATATATAGCATATTTGCTACTCAATTCTCTATTTACAGTACATGTATATCATTATTTTATTTTTATTTCATTTTTTCATGCAGGAATCAAAGGAACAGCCATGATGAATATTTGGATGGTACCAGCTGTCCTTCTTCTGTCTTCAACCTATCTTGTAACAGGACATGGTGATGACACCCATGATGAATTTCAAGGGGTAAGTCTAGATCATAGACTATTTTACTATTTATAATGCTGATTAAAGGAAGTCTGATGGGAGATTTTTAAAATTGTATAGCGTTAGAGATCAAAGAAATGTTATATGCGTATAATTCTATTTTTTAATGGGAAAAAAATGAGAAAAAAAATATCTCTGTAAGTAAGAAAGTTTTCTAATCTTTGTAAGACCAACAAATGGATTTGAATATTATTCGAATAAAAAAACTCATGCTAATTTTGAAAAGGAACGTCTGAATGATAAGCTAGATTTTATTTTAAAGGAAAGATTACAGGAAGCTCTTTTAAAAAAGAAATTGATTGTTCCCACAATGTTGGAGATTACAGAGGTGCTTCATACTTTGTTTACATGGATAATACCAGACAATTACATTTTTAAGTCGGCATGCATGAATCTTGAGGGGATGGAAAAACTCTTGCTACTTTTAAATGGGTAGGTCTAAATTAGAGACTATTTTGCTTGTTTAGGTGGAAAGAAGTTTTCAAGGAGGAATTTTCAAATATTGCATATATATTTGCAATTTTTATGTAGATGATAATAATAAAAAGAATCTTTGAATCAACTTGATTTGAATCTCCTGCTGGTTTTGAAGGGAAACATGTAGATCTTACATTTGGAATGATAGACTATATTTAGAGGAGATTTACGGGGAGACATTTAAAAAAAAATTGTCTGTTCTCATATCAGAAGCTTTTGAATGAAAACAATTATGAAATATATTTGAGCCCAAGAATGTAAAAGAGGGAAAAGTAAATATATGAAATTGTTGGCAATATGGGGAGGCAGTGTCAAGTCAAATTTGTGGTATTGATGCAGTTCTGTTGGTCAGTATATAGCCTAAATTTAAATAGGATTACAATTTTTGTTTAAATTGGGTGTTCATTTGAGGATGCAAACCCAAGTCAGGCACACCTTTAGTGAATGCTGTATTGCATTAGACTGCAATAAATTTTTTAACTTTTTCGCGCGCTCTGAGCACGCACAACTACGCGCGGACACGTATGGAAGAAATTTTTTGAAATGCTCTAAATGACCTGGTTCGTACTCAAAATTGTTCATGAGTGATTTTCAGCATTTTTTAATTTTGACGCGCACACACGTGCGCGTCGTGACAAGCACACAGACATGGATTGTCAATGTATTGACCAATAGCCTGAAGTTATTGTGTATTGAATTTGGGCAATTAATGATGAATGGTTATGAAGATATGAATGATAACGTTAAAAAAAACACAAAATGGCGCCTGGATGACGTCATGGTTGACTGATCACAGTAAAAAGAGGAGGTGCACGATTCCTGATGATGCCAAAGATACTGTAAATATCTGAAGATGATACTGATACAATTTTTTGAGATAATTGATGGCAAAATTCAGTTGGAGAAAGAAAGAAATAAATAATAAATAAGATTCATACAAACACAATAGGTGATATGCTACTACATGTACATGTATGTAGCATATCACCTATTATAAATAGCAATGCGTGACTTGTGAATAAAATTCTTATACCTTATACATAGATAATGACACAAAGATACAAACAATGAAAGTACCGTAAATCTCCATGTATAAGATGCACCTGTGTATAAGATGCACCCCTATTTTGGGGCCGAAAATAATAAGATTTTTTTTTTTTTTGCAGACTCCGTAGGCAGCAATCCAGGTTCGTTTTCAAAACTGCACGCGGGGAAGGACCTTTCTTTTACTGCGAGGTGCAGTTGAAGGCGCTGATTTGTGCTTGTGAACTTGTCACAAATACATGACATAGTAACAATGTCGTTTTTAAAACAGAAGATGACAGACAAAGTTTCCTCAAAGTCCAAACAGAAATCCGGCCATACAGATAGTGTTGTTCTAGTTTCTGAGTGGTGAGTCATCACGCCTTGTATGACTGAGCTGGGAGAGATTGCCAGGCACAGTGCAGGTGGAGGGGCATAAATCAACACTTTGAATTTTTTGTTTTGTTTTTGTTTGTTTGTGTACCTGTGTATAAGACGCACCCTCAATTTTTTTTTGCGGGAAAAAAGTGTGTCTTATACACAGAGATTTACCTTAGATACAAATTTAAGTAAATTTCTTTGTCATTATGTGTAGGACCCCTACAGTGATGACGGGTGCGGTGAAACCAGGGGGTGTTTTGACTGTCGAGATAATCTTGCAACGTGTAAAGTGAACGTCGCATGGGAGCCCAACCCACACGAGGGTGTGGTCAAATTCACGCTGTGGGGAACCAAGGTGGCAGACCAAGCCCATGTATCAGTAGGAATAACACCCACTGGAAATATGGTAAGATTGGCGTCAAGAGGAGGTGTCGTAGTGGAGTGGTTTAAGCACTTGACTTAAGATGCAAAGGTCATGGGATTGATCCTCGACATAGCACGTACACTGTATGTCTTTTGACAAGGCATTAATCTACATTTACCACTCCATACCCAGGAGAGAAATAGGGACCGGGAAGGATAATGAAAGCCTTTGTGTCAGTAATGCCATATGCCCTCACAGTGACCATATGGTTTAGAGATGGTATTTCGTATTAAGCGCTATATGAATCCAGATTATTATCATTATGATTACCAGTCTTAGTGGAGAATAAATTATGCAAATTGACATGGTGGGTGTCTGGCTGACAGAGAGCAAGGTGCACTGTACATCAAACGTCATTGTTTCACCTGTTTACATTCTCTTTCCCCTCTTCCCTCTTATTCCCCCTTTATCTATTCATTTTCTTCCAATTTTTTTCTCATTCGCTCAAAGATTGTGAGCCACATTTTTACAACTTCATGGATCTGTTCTTTCATTTTTCTGCTTTAAAAAAAAGTCTCATTTCAGACTGGACTGTACCAGTAATCTTGTATTCTTTATTTTTTTTCCTCTTGTTATCGATTTTTGGAAAGCTTAACTGTGGCAGAAAGCTAAGAACAATGAAACTAAAACAATGAAATTAAAACGATGTACCATTCAGAATGTGTGTTTTATGAACTGTATGCTAAGTAGCTTTATATTCTTTTTGTGTGATTAACATCTATAGGCCAATGCTGATGTGTATTCATGCATCAGTGATGACACTGGATTGGTTATGGGGAGATCTAGGAATCCAGAGACTGGTAGGACTACCACAGCAAGACCACTAGTAAGTACCTGTGTACCCTCACATACATGATAGTGTAGTTATAAATGTTATGATGAGACTCAAGACAAAGAGACGGGACACTAAATATAGCTGTTTCAAACAGGAGAAAAATTTTAATCAAAATCTTATAGTAGAGGTGTCGTGGATGAGTGGATACGTCGCTGGACTGTCGATCACAAGGTCCGCGGTTCGAGTCCCGCCGCGGCACTAATGTCCTTTGGCAAGACATTGATCTACATTTGCCACTCTCCACCCACGTGTTAAATGGGTAGCGGCAGGAAGGATTTCCTTTAAATGCTGTGAGCGTCGAAATCTGCAGTATAGCATAGCTGGGTAATGTTGGAGCGCCTTGAGGACCTTGCAACGTTGATACGTGCGCTATATAAGAATCTAATATTATTATTATTATTATTATAAAGAAACACAAAAACGTACATATGCAATGATTCTACATTCAACAGGCCACACACATGAGATACTACATGTCATATACATGTACAGTATGTAAATGCAGAATAAAGAAACTTTGAATTCTAGGTCGTACCATCAGACCAACTCCAAACAGACTCAAACTGACCAACTCTTGATCGTTCGGGGGGGTAATGACACTTCTTTGCTCTGTCTTGTGTTAGGATAGTATCAAAATCGTTGCCGTGACTGGGATATTACGAGAGAAAAGTGAAATTGTTAGGATTTCTGTACTATATGTCATTAAAGTAGATATTTATTGATTTTAGAAACTAACTAACGAGAGAAAAGCGAAATTGTTAGGATTCCTGTACTATATGTACTATATGTCATTGATTTTAAAAACTAACTTTATGTTCATTATTGCAAAGTTGAAACTTTGATTCGACAAGGTTATCAAAATTCAATGCTTGGAAACATTCGAAGTAGTGATTATTATAAATTGCAAAATGCTTAAATACAGCCCCGGCATAGCACCTGAACGCTGCTGAGATGTGTGAGATCGCAGGATGGACATGGTTTGCAGAAGCAGACGATGTCCCATGACTTCTCACACCATTTCAGTATCTGTTTTTTCATCTTCTTGAGTTCTTTCTCTTACTTCACTTCTGGTTTCTTTGATTGTTAAAGGGATCCGGTAGCTTTGTCTCAGATTCTGAAACAAAATTCTGGATTTAGCTCATGCTGCAATGATAATTATAAACCTTAAGGTCAGTCAGGAACCCCATGAATTTTACAAGCCGATCGCCTGTATGGTTATCAAGATATTTATGATTGGAATTACAAATTTTGAAAACCGTTTGCCAAAAGGTTTTCATAGCACTACAGTCTATTGGGGAAAACGAGTATGGTAAAACCGGTCACTCAAAGATTTTTACTTTTTTGAGGCACTTCTTGATCATTTTGAAGCGCAATTTTTTGTATGGCTTCAATATTTCACCATATCACAGACACTGATAACACATAGGGCCGTGTATCTCAGATTTAACATTGTTAAACGATCCCTTTAATTAACCCCTATCCTGTGTATTTACAAACAAAAGATTTTAGTTATCAGAATCGGTTTCATATCCCCTTTTGAATGGTTTGAAATGCCATCACATTTATGTACACTAAACTCATTATAATTTGAGAAATAATAGCTTTGCAATTATGTTCATTCTTTATGGGATGTCGTCTGCTTGGGCAGTATTGGTCCATTATGTGACGTCATTAAAACATCGTTATTTTTCTGGTAAATCTCTCGTATATCCCGGATGCTTTGGAGGTGGTTGTATTTGTATTTTTTATAAATCACCCGATATGTAGTTGACCTAAAACTTGTACGATGGCCATCTGGCCATCATTTACGGGAATGGCTAAAATCATGACTCCAATTTCGACCAATCAGATGGCTGGATTTCTAAAGTGAGGTATATACTAGGAATTACTAATCATACTCCTAAATCAATTGAACACAGACTTTTTTTATTGAAGACAGTCGGAGTGGGTGGGGGGGGGGGGGAATTAGTGGACCACTTCTTACTTTAATTCAAATTGTTGAATTATTTTTCCACAGGCTAACTAAGTATTTTGCTATTATCTACAGAAAGGAGTGTCTGGTCAAGAGGTCAGCGTGATGGAAGGCATGATCCGTTGTCAGTTCAACCGTAATATGTCATTGGATGATGGAGATGATGAGTTCTTTGATATCAATAATATCAGCTACTTCCTCATTCTATCAGCGGGTACCGCAGCCGGAGGTAATCTATATTTGTGAAATGGTTCTTTTCACCCATGGGGGGGGGGGGGGGGGAAGAATTCTGCCAGGGTGCTCCAACATTTGCTCCAGTGACAATTGCACTCGGGTTTATTTTGTCAAAGATATAGGATTAGGGTTGTAATGAGAGGTTTGTGTATCAAGTTTTATTATGTTTAATTAAGGAATTGGTGAGTGTAGGATATTGACCACAGAGCAATAGTCGCCGGAGCATGTGTAAGTATAATCCTTCATCAGACATGGACTAGTGTTGTGTATCCTCGATCTTTTACAATACAGTTTACTTTCCCTAACTTCAACACTGGACCTAACATTGTGCTACATATAACTCGAACCATAAGCTCACCCAAAGCCCAATAGCAACCTCAGCTCTCACCCACTTATGCAAGCTGAAAATATATATCAGTGTGAATCCTATGGTAAACAATAGATAATAAATACCAATTAAAAATTCCCCTGAAAAGATCAAAACTGGTAATTGCCTTCATGCGCAATTATATAGAAAATTAAGAGTTTTAGCAACGCATTTAGAAAATTATGCGTACAAAATAGTCTGATTTTCAGACCCTTGGTCATACATTTTGTGCTGCGTAAAGATTCAATCAGCTTAATTTGGGCCATTACAAGAGGTGGCTTATTGATGGGTACAAATGCTCATGTACCCTTTACAGCCCATTTTATGTATGTTATTACTGAAGAAAAAAGAGAGAAAAAAAGAAGTCAGTCAGTCACTCAATAGTGTCTGACAGTGAAGTCTAGAAATTAAACAGGTTTCCTTGCATAATTTGAATACTAGGACATGGCTAACATTTAAATTTCACTTATAGGACAACGTGACATATTCATAATTCCTGCAAAGTTCTACTTTGATTGTCATCACAGCATCTTTCTGACTCCACAGTGTCCACGCTGTAAACCTATCGTTAGGGACTTTTAGATTCACACAAAGACAATGGGGATTGCACTGTCTTGAATGGACGTCACACGTATCAGTCCACGCAAATCTAAAAGTCCCTATTCATAGCATCAGCTCCTACTCCGTGCAATTCTCTACCCTTAAAGTAAGCACCTGAAGAATCAAAAGTGTTTTGAATGGATGCAAAATTCATGTCATTGCGAAGGGGAAGCATTACTGATCAAATATAACAATGTCCCTCTTCAAAATATGTTTAATCATAACAGTAATCATCTCTCAAAAATGTTAATTTTGAGATCCAGATTTTGAGACACAGCTAGCCACAAAATTGCACTTTTATGCCTTTCCATGATATCTATATGACTTTTCAGCAAAATTATTCGTGTTTTTTTAAATCTTTCCATCCATATATAATTTGTTGATTATTATCAGTTGTTGTGAATTTTTTTCGGGTGACTACTTTAACAGTTAGAAATACATTGCTTATGATAATCTATTTTGTAATGTAAAGCACAGAGAGAATTAATTTGTACTTATTATGCGCTATGAAAATTTCACATTATTATTGTATTTTGCATTTTAGTTTTAGCATCTCCATTTTTTTTACATATTTATCTGTAATCATCGTCATTGTAACTGTCATGTAATTCCTGTACTGCCACATTGAATTGCCCTTTAGGTAGCCACAAAATGTTAAAGAATTCAATTTTGTCATGCAGGGACAGGTCAAGGACACGATGTCGGGGCAAACAGAGGTTTATCTGCATCAGTCGACCTCTCTCAGACCTTTTCAGTAGGAGCAGGAGAATCGATGGCCTACCTAATGAAATTACATGGTAGGTTTACATGTACAAGTTTATTTGAGATAAGCTTGTACCCCGTCATAGCTGTACCTGTTAGAATCCCTACTATATGTTCTGTGTGTATATTAAAGTTGAAGGAAAGGAAACTAATTGTTAAAATGTTTCAAATTGTTTTAAGTTAGAAGTCCCGAATTGGTATCAGAGTATAGCTGGAGCTAGTAGTAGTAGCTGTCTGTCGCGAAGCGACAATGACCGCCTTCATTTTCACTTTACAGCTGTTCTCCATACAGCTCGCTGGCCTGCAGCAGTTGTCCAAGTCTTGAGTTCAATTTGCCTCCGCTTAAGGTTCCGCTTGATCGTGTCCTTGTACCGAAGCTGTGGACGACCAATCCCTCTTTCGCCAGCGGGTAGTTGCGAGAATAGTACTTGCTTTGGTAACCTCTCAGAGGGCATCCTGATGACATGGCCTGTCCATCGTAGGTTGTTCCTGATGAGCAGGTCCTCCATAGAAGGAAAGTTTGCTCGCTCTAGTACCTCTTTGTTGGTCACCTTGTCCTTCCAACTGATTCTCATGATTGCTCGGAGGTGTCTCATCATGAACGCGTGAAGTTTCTTTACTTGACTTTGTAGAGAGTCCAGCTTTCCGCACCGTATAAGAGAGTGGATAGGACTATAGCCCTGTAGATTTTGCACTTCACTCTTGTTGAGACATGATGATTGTTCCATAGCCTGGTTCGCAGTCTTCCAAAGGCACTGCTGGCCTTTGACATTCTTTTCACCAGCTCAGAGTCGATGCGTCCGTCTTTGCATATAGTGCTGCCGAGGTAAGTGAAGTCATCTACCTGGTTTAGGGCTGTTCCATCCACTAGGATCTGCTCCTCCTGTCGGTGGTCTGTACCTGGTTGGAATAGTACTTCAGTCTTTTTGATGTTTATTTGTAGACCAAACTTCTTTGATGCTGATGAAAATAAATCTATAACATGTTGCATCTGCTCTGGCGTATGAGCAACAAGAGCACTGTCATCTGCAAAGAGGAGTTCCCTCACGAGAATCTGTGTAGACTTCGTCTTAGCTTCGAAGTGTGCGACATTAAATAGGTCAGCGTCTTGACGTGATTGTATGTATACGCCCTCCTCAAAGTCCGCAAAGGCCTCCTCCAGCATCGCCGAGAGGAAGATGGAGAACAGCGTAGGGGCCAACACACATCCTTGTTTTACACCGTTACTTACGGGGAAGCTATCGGATGTTTTGCCTGCTTCCTTGACTTTAGCCATCATACCCGTATGTAGGGACTCTATCATTCCGGTGAACTTCTCGAGACATCCATACTTTCGGAGAAGTTGCCAAAGACCTGTTCTACCAACAGTATCAAAGGCTTTAGTGAAATCGACAAAAACCACATAAAGAGATCGGTTTTGCTCGATGCACTTCTCCTGTAGTTGTCTGAGGCAGAAGATCATGTCTACAGTGCTCCGGTTGTTTCTGAATCCGCATTGCGTCTCCGGCAGTGTATCTGGTGTTATGTGGGTATTCAATCTATTGAAGAGGATCCTTGCAAAAACTTTCCCTGCTATTGACAATAACGATATTCCTCTGTAGTTTCCACATTGAGTTCTATCTCCTTTTTTGAAGATGTTGACAATATTAGCATCCTTCCATTCCTGAGGTACGGAGCCTTCTGCCCATGCTTGTTGTATCAGCATTAGTAAACTGTTGGTTAGTGTGGCTCCTCCATGCTTCCATATCTCGCTTGGTATCCCATCCACTCCGGGGGCCTTGCCATCACCATCCCAAGGAAGCAATTGCCAGGTTTAGCTCTTTTCGTGTTGGAATATCATTGAGTGCAGTAACTACAGGTCGCTGGTTGATCCTATCACGTGCTGCAGGCTCGATATTTCCTGGCTGGTTGAGTAGTGTCTCAAAATGCTGCAACCATCGTTCAAGCACTCTTTTGTTGTCTGAAAAGGTTGTGTTACCGTCCAGGGACTTGAGATGAACTGTACTCCTTGTCTGTGGGCCCCAGACTTCCTTCAGTCCAGTGTAGAAGGACTTCATGTCATTATTGTCTGCGGAGCGCTGCAGGTCCTCTGCCTTTTTCTCCCACCAGTTGGTTTTCATTTTCCGTGTGTACCTCTGCAAGTGTCTACAGGCTTCCTTGTACGCGGTGGTGGTGGACCTGGTGCTTCTAGTCTGTAAAATACGTTGGTGTGTTTCATCCCTTTTCTTCATGAGTATCAGAAGCTCGGAGTCTTCTGGGTCAAACCAGTCCTGGTGTTTTCGCTCTGGTTTACAGAGGGTGTTGCTCGCTGTCTCATATACTACTTTGCTGAGTGATGCCCAGGTCTGATCAACTGTCATTCCCTCTTGCACTCCCCAGTTCGTCAGAGCTTTCTCCATATCTTGCTCTAGATTTAGCCGTTGTGTGTTGACGTGTAGCCGGTCTGTGTTCAGCTTTGCAAGTTTAGTAGCTCCTTGCTTCCTACGCTTTGAACGTAAAGCAAATGCAATCTTTGATCTTAGTAGCTGGTGATCCGTCAAGCAGTTAGCTCCACGCATAGTTCTTGTGCTGTGGAACATCCATTCTGTCTCGTTGTCTTGTTATGATGTAATCAATCAGGTGCCAATGCTTAGAGCGAGGGTGCATCCAGGTGGTTTTGTGTTCTTCCCTCTGCTTGAACACGGTGTTTGTCAGTAGGAGTTCGAACTCAGAGCACAGCGCTAGAAGTAGCTCACCATTGGAGTTGCATTTACTGATTCCGTGCCTGCCTAACACTGACTGCCATTTCTCATAGTCTCGTCCTACCCGGGCATTGAAGTCTCCCATCAATATCAGCTTGTCAGTCCGGGGGGTGTCTCGCAACGTTCGCCTAAGCTGATTGTAGAAGTTCTCCTTTGTTTCATCCGGACTCGTCATGGTTGGTGCGTATACACTGATGAGAGTAGCATTTCCATTCTTCGTCAGTGGTACCGTCATTGTCATAATTCTATCATTCACCGCTTTAGGCATTTCTGTGAGCTTCGCTAAGATCTCTTTTCTGATGGCGAATCCCACTCCAGCCTCTCGTCGTACGCCGTCTGGCTTGCCACTCCAGAAGAATGTGTAGCCGATGTCATCGAGCCTTCCTGACTCGGAGAAACATGTTTCACTCAGAGCAGCAATGTCAATTCTGTATTTCTCCAGCTCCATGGCTACAAGGGCAGTCCTTCTCTCTGGCCTGCCAGTTCCTTCTCGATCGAGGAGTGTCCTGACATTCCACTGTCCAAACATCATTGTAGTTATTCCGCTGGTGTCGTCTTTTTGTTGTCGCTGTTTGCTTCCTAGTATACTTGGCACTGTCGACGGAAGTCCTGATCTAACAGCGCGGTCCTTGTTAACCCGGAAGACGACCGAACCGGTATGAAGTTTCATACTGTTGCGCATAATGAAGGCTGCTTGCAAAGGTGAATAAGTACCGGTAGCTCTTGCAAGTTACTAATGATACTCTCTCGGGGAACTGGTGGCAGTTTCACACCGGCGAGGACAAGCCAGGACGGGTGTGAACCACTAGACCCTGCAGTGACTGGTCGAAGGATGTCGGGAGTTCCGTATCGTCAATCGCCCTTACTGCTGTCACGGTGGCATGGTTTTCTGTTAGGGTTTGCTCCCTTAGCCTTAATTAGATTCTAAAGAGAACCTGAACCACAAGGCAGTGGTTACAACCAAGCATGGCAAAAACAATTAACATTTAATAAAATAATGAGGCGATTACAATTACTCTTATGATAAAAGTACTAATTGAACCAACCAAATATTTCTTTTAAGTAATTTATTGATTATGTCTATTCAGTGCTGTGATAAAAACACTGATTACAGTAGAGAACAAAGATTTTTTCTCGAAATAAGTGCAAGAATATTAAGGAGATTAGGGCAGATCGGATATACCTTATGATATCAAATTAATTTGAATAATAAATTGAGTAACTGATTTTAATATAGATCTATTATGAATCAATTGATTTGGTTGATCCAGTTCGATGGCACAAACACGACACTACTAGACAGAAATCCTAACAAAAATTACAAAGCTTGGTCTTGTTGCTCTGTTCGCCAGCAGTTTGAGGATATGGAATCCCGCGGCACATTACTCACAAGAGCTCTAACAATCCAAGCTTAAACAAAAACCTATTATAAGTAATTTTTTGCCTGTACCACCCACCTGATCAATTTACGAACAATTACCAAGAAAAACAACAAAAATCGAAACAACAACATTCCCATTCAAGAAATTAAAGGATATGTGCACTTGGCTGAAGTCTCCTATTATGACGTCACACTCAGCTGAGATGAAAAGTGTGCGCTATACTGTAGTTGTGCGTATGTTGATACTGCGTTAAACAGGTGCTTCTCCGCGTCAGATCAGTCAAAACAAATATCCAGGAATACGCAAAGAAAAACGAATTTGAAAACTCAAATCCTATAAAAAGTGAAAAAATTTCAAATGTTTTTCTATAAAATTAGGTCCATCGATGATATAAAATTCCAGATTTTCTCGAGATCGCCTTCCCAGTGCTGTTATCCACAGTCCGATATAAATTTTAGTTCTCTTCGTGCGCCCTAACCCGAGTTACGCTTGAAATTTTGGGAGCCCACAGAAAACACGTCCTCCCCTCCCAAAATGACATATGTGGAGCTAGGGTCCCTGAATCAAGTAGTCTAGCCAGTTTAGATAAAATAATTCCTGCTTAGGTTGATTTTGATGTTCAATACTCAATAGTGCAGCAGTGAATTTACAACGAAGTCTGACACTTACCTGGGCCAGAGGGTGGGGTACATGCATCTGTGGAAAACTTCTCAATAAAATTGGTTGTTAGATCGGGATGGTTTGCATCACCATACAGACAAAAGCACACCGAATTTCCAGGATGTAGCCAACATTAAGTTGTTAAAACATCAATATAAAAAATGTATTACTTCTCTCTCTATCCTTACCTATTTTCCAATATTTCAATATTGATGTTGTGTAGGATTGTCATGATCTATTTGATAGATCAGTAAACTGTGGATCTTATGGTTTGTGGTTTGAGTCCCAACATCAGCACTAATGGCATGATATTAATCTGCATTTGCCACTCTCCACCCACTTCCTACCATAATCTAGTAGGAAGTTATTCCTTGAATGCTTTCAGCTGGGCTACATAAAGCCAGGGTCCCTGGGATGGATATGAGTGCAACATAAATATACAGGTACAGGGTGTACTTCTTCTTCTTCTTCTCCTCCTCCTCCTCCTCCTCCTCCTCCTCCTCCGTCTTCTTCTTTTTTTACAATTCAACATATAGAAATAACCATTCTATTTCTAATTCTGCAGTGCGTCTTGTTACATGCACAAAGAAACATGAATCAATAACTCCGGTCTTAAGAGATCTACATTGGTTACCCATCAAGTATTGTATCTAGTTTGAAGTACTTCTATTAACCTACCAATGTTTACATCAACTAGCTCCTGTTTATCTTACCAAGTTACTTACTCCATATAAACCAGATAGAATGCTACGTTCCAGTTCCAAGTCTCTGCTTTGTGCTCCACAAACCATGACAAAGTCATACAGGGAAAGGTCTTTTTCATATGCAGCACCTTTTTTGTGGAACAAGTTGCCTAAACAACTGAAAAGTATATAGCCTTTAAAACCTTTATCAATTCTCTGAAGACATATCTCTTCACCGCTTCATAAATAATCAGAATCATGAACACAGTGCATAGTTTTGTCTTTTTCTTAAAGTGCATAGAGACATGAAATTTTGCCTATGTGTTACCAGTATGCACTTTGTAAAAATGTTTAATTATTATTATTATTATTCAAGCAATCTAAATTTCAATATTTATTTCCAATTTTCTCCTAGGCTGCCTGATGATCATAGCTTGGATAGGTCTAGCTAGTGTAGGTCTCACCATGGCACGATTCTTCAAACCAATGTGGCCTGACTCCAAACTCTGTGATGTTAAAATTTGGTTTGCTGTAAGTCAAACTCTAAAGAGAAATTTTTAACGTCAGTTTATAAGAATATCATTGCAGGAATCTCCTTCCGAAAATGTTAAGGGAAATAGAGGGAAAGTTAGGACCAAACATTCTTAACACCTGTGTGTGTAGTCCCATATACCTGTTTATGTGTGCAGTGCATCTGATTTCAGATCGATTTTGTTAATTTCTATTTATTTGTATCTTTCCCAAACCTCAAAGTGTATCGATTCCTAAATACTATATACAGTGTAATCAACCTTTCCCAATTTCTTACGGACAGTTTCTTTCACATTATAATCACATGACCAGAACTCTACTTTATCTCGTTCATATATGATGAGGGTTAACTATGTAAAATCAAACACATCAGCAAAATAAACTGTTTTACTTTAATAAATGATTGGCAAGTAGGGATGTGGAGAAATGTAGCAGTGCCCAACAAAGGACATCAATATTATCTGTGTTTTTATTAGATCTAGTGCATTTGGTGTATGCCATTTTTATTTGCCACAACAATTTTTTCTAGATAGACGTTTACACAGTCATGTTTAAGCATGGTGTTACAAAGACAAGGGCCCCTTCTTATGAAGAGTTACGATTTGATCCAAATCAATTGTAAGTCCTCCAAATAGGCGCAAGTTTGCTTTATCCTCTCTCTCAGACCTGCCAACCAGTACGATTTAGTTGTATTTTGTACGATTTTTAGAAGCAAATACGATTTTCCTCGATAAAATACGATTTTTAAAAAAATTATTTATTCTGTCCTGTAAAGTATCCTACAAGCATCTCACATCACCAATTTGGGGATATTCATTGGTTCATCAAACACACCAGTCATGACAAAATCATGCATATTCAACCAATGATCCTTCAAAAAATTTCTTCCTGTATGTAGGAACTGTACGAGGCATTGATCCGCGTTAACGTCTGTTTTTATTTTTAAGAATACAACTTTTGGGATTAAAGAATACAGTTTTTGAACTCCAGAGCTAGGCAGGTCTGCTCTCTTATTTACATATCATATTTGCCGGCAATAAGGCAGCAGTATTTTTGGAAGAAAAAATATCATAAATCTGAGTGCGGCCTTTGCGCAACAACAACAAAATTCAGCAGTCAAAACAGCACGTCTATTTGAACATATGGGACTAATGCAAATGAGATTGGAATATACCTAATTGGTGGACAGTTGCCAATATCGATTATGAAGTATCAATAATTTATTACTGGTTCTTCTAACTGGATCGATTTACCAATTGAATCCCCATTGAATGCCCCCATTGAATCCCAATTCAATACCAATTGGCTTGACTATAGACAATGGTACAGTACATTTCTAGAATAACTCCACATAACTTACCTACAATTTATGTTGCATTGTTGCCATAAAGACAAAAATAAACTGCATAACTTATTTTTCTAATAAAATCTGCTGGTAGATCTAGATCTAGGTCCTTACCATTGCATCGCCAAAAAGTAAAAGAAGGGACAGACCGTTACTTACGGAGCTAGCTGCCGCACAACGCAACTGCGCAGGTCGTAGTCGCAATTCTGTATTACACTGCACATCGTGGTAGGGGTATATGTAGGATACCAAATCTGCGTGCGATACAGTACTAGCTTAAAAATTGATGAAGATCTGCTAAATTACGATAATTTTTTAGGTAAACTTCTTGTAAATTTATAAGAATATTGATGAATTTGGTATCAGTTTGTAGAAAAAATAGTGTTCTATGAGAAAATTACGATTATTTTGTTTGGTCCATTTTTGTTTTTTTGTTTTTTTCCTCTACGAAATGTCAAAGTTGGGGGTGCGGCCTTATCGCTGGCAAATACGATAGTTGCGATTGATATCAACTCTTGTTAAGACGGGGCTCAGGTTTCCAAATAATTTTGTTGTGGCCCAAATTTCCTCTTTTAATGATAATTTTATAATGTTGTTATAGATAAAATCCTGTTTTCCACTTTACTGCATGAAATTTATCACAACAAAAATTTTCAGCCCCTGCTCTACAATTTTGGCTCCAAAGACATCACCTCAAGGGGTGTTTCACAAAGACTAAGATCGACTTTAAGTTGGACTTAACTATGGCAGGCTGCTCATGCCACTATTTGCTCTCACCATTTACTGGCATATTTCTCTCAAGGGACGTACACATCATGGTCACAAATCTACAGAATTTACATTTGTTGATAATTCATTATTGAAGGAAAAAATATTATCTAAAGTTCATAATGGTGAGAGCAACCAGTGGCATGAATAGCATGCCATAGTTAAATCCAACTTAAAGTTGATCTTAGTCTTTGTGAAACACCCCCAGATCCATTAAAAAAATAAGGTATCCAAATATTTTTTTGGGCTATATAGTGGATTAGGTGAAAGGTTTCCCAGCCGTTGCCAGGGCAACAAAGGGTCAAAGAATTTTTCAGCCACTAGAAGGGGAGGGGGGGGGCAATTCTAATTTGCATAAGAATGGCAATTATGCAATAGATAGGTGAGTAAAAGCAAGATGAAGTAGATAAATATACATAAAATATAAACATAATTTGTTCTGTACATCACAATTGTTTTTTCTGTTACAGGTACATCGAGCATGTATGGTTTTAGCTTTGTTACTGTTCGTAATCGGTTTCATCGTAATATTTGTCCATGTGGGAGGATTCTTAGAGCTTGGCGATGGTACAGAGGTGAGTTTCCCTCCATGACTTTGTAATGATAACAGAGACTAGAGGAGGGTAATTAGGCTAATCCATGGTAATTTTTGTGGCTGTGGCACTTTTCATCAGTCTCTCAACATTAAATTTATGTATCTTTGGCAAGACATTCTTTTATATTGCCACTCTCCACCCAGAAGGAAATGGGTGCTTGTGAGGATTATCAAACACCAATGAGAATGCTTTTCCCTCTACCCTACATCTATGTACAGTGCATTGAAAAAAAAGTGTACCCAACTTTGGTAGCTTCTAATTAAAAGTTTAACTCTATAAGACCTTAAATCATATTTCATTGTAAAGAAGAACTATGCCATGCAGGGATGGATCCAGCCGGCTGCAGGGGAGGGGGCCCATGCCCCCCTTCTGGATCCGCCACTGATGCCATGTCAGTGTTCTCAAAAGCCTCTTGTACCAAGTTTTGGCTGAAGCAATGAATGTGGGTCAAAAGCCATTATATATGTGCTATCTCATTCCAAACTATTGCTCATTTGTTTACATTGACTCTTAGGCAGCTGTGAAAAGGTCAAAGAAATTCTTATGACAAGTAAATTTATGATATGTCTTCCTTATCATGATTACAATCTTGACTCCATTTTCATCCCTTGTTTAAGGTAACCTTCTTATTAAGTGATAGTTTATTTGGGATGTTATATCATTTATGAAAGTCTGCTGTAAATTTCTATGATATTTTTCATCAAATGTGTTCTTTCGTGCCTTTGGGTTGAGTATCCTTTGAGTTTTCATTTGGTATTTGAGATACCGGTAAACACTTTATGCTCCCAACGCGTGTGAAATGGCGCAGCACACAAGTGAGCAGGGAAAACTTAGATATCATGAGTCAAGTTATAAGGCTGTTCAAAATAATTAAAGGTTATCCTGTGGATCGAAACAAGGTTCTGTGAGAACCTTGAAGAATTACTCTCCCAAAAGCGTGAACGCTGTCCTGGAGAGGGCTGTGCTGTGTTGCGTGCTGTTGGTGATGTGCTGTTGGTGAAGTGATGGTAGTTGTTCTCCGTGCACTATATACAATGTGTAGGGTGCAGGTGGTGCAGGTGTGTCCCACGTTACAACATCTTCAGGGGCAGGGGCGGCGCCATAGTCTGTATGGCGGGTAATGCCGCTCCGCTAAAGCCAAGAATTGTATTTGCAGTGACAGCGTTGCTTGGGAGAGTGTTCCAGACACTGACTGCTCTGGGAAACATGCTGTACATGTAGCAGTTAACTCGGCAAAATGGTTGGGTGAATCTGAAGTTGTGGTTTTGATGTTGTGCTCGTTGCGGTCTGGTGATGCCTGTGGTAAGTCAGATGTCAGGAGGCAAGGAGATCTGGACAAGTTTTTGGTGTACTTTGAAGAGCATCTCGCATTGATTTAGCAAGCGGCGGTGTTGTAGCGTGTCCCAGCCAAGAGATGACAGCATGGTGGTGACACTAGATTCTCTTCTATAGTCATGGAGGACGAATCTAGCAGCTTGTCTCTGTATGCTCTCTATGAGTTTGATCTCCTTCTGGGTGTGTGGATTCCATGCACTTGAGGCATATTCCAACTGGGGTCCTACAAGCTGCTTGTATGCAATGTCCTTGACATTTCCCAAGGGCTCGACGTACAACTCCCAAGAGTTCTTGCAGCTTTCGCTTAGATCTTCTGTGCATGGGTGTTCCAGCTCAGATTGTTTGCCACTGTGACTCCGAGGTATTTATAGGAAGTAGCTTTTGGAACTGCTTTCCCATTGATGTTAAAGTCAAAGGTCCAGGGATGCCGCTTCAAAGAGATGCACATGTGGGCACATTTCTTCACATTGAATGACATATCCCAAAGGTCTGCCCATTTTGCCAGTGTGGAAAGATCCTGCTGTAAGGCTATGTGGTCATCTCTTGTGTGGATACTGCGGTACAAGACACAGTCATCAGCAAAGAGTCTTATTGATGATGATACGTCTTCACATATGTCATTGATGTACACAAGAAACAAGGCCGGACCAAGGACCGATCCCTGGGGGAACCCAGAGATGACATCCGTTGATTTCTATTTCCAAATTGTTTATTTTAAACTGTACTATTCATAGTTATAATACTAGAAATGCTAAACAATTTCACTTGCCATTGACTCGTACAGTACTAAACCAAAAAATTATTATTTTCCAAGGACCCTTTTTATGGAACACTCTTCCCCATTATATTCATAATTCTGTTAGTGTAAATGTTTTTAAACGTAGGTATAAGAAATTTCTTTTAGATAAACTGCAATAATCATTTAAATTCAAGACATATTTTATTTGATGTTGTATGTATGTTTGTTGTCTTGATTTGTGTATAGTATAATGTTTAGTAACGGATATATTTCATTTGTTTTTATTATAAAAAAAGGGTCAACCTTTATATAAGGATTATTTTTTTCCTTTCAGGTTGCAACCTATTCAGTTTATTTGTTGTCCAAATGTCAAATATGTTCTTAATGTGTATTTTATGTTATATAGCTGGTTGTTATTTGAAATGTTGTCTTTTTAACTGAATGAAATAAATTGAATTGAATTGAATTATGGCGATGAGGCTCCATTCATTGACACAGTTTGGGATCGGCCAGTCAGGAAGCCATGAATCCAGTTGATAGTTGATCCTTGGATTCTGTAGAACTTCAGCTTGTGAACTAGCTTTCGATGTGACACCTTGTCAAATGCCTTGCTGAAATCAAGGAAGATCGCGTCAGTTTGGTGCTGCTGGTTGATGTTGCTAGCCCAATCATTAACAGCTTCCACAAGCTGGGTTTGACAGGAACGTCCTTGCCGGAATCCGTGTTGATTGGGAGTGATGATGTCATTTTTTGCCAGAAACTTGGACATGTGGCTCAGAATGATGTGCTCAAGGATCTTGCAGCAGATGCATGTGAGGGACACAGGTCTGTAGTTAGATGGGCCATTTTTGTCTCCTGATTTGTAGATGCTTGCCACTCTAGCTCTCAGCCAATCCTTTGGTAGGACTCCATTATCGTACGACTGTTGGTAGAGGTGGGTAAGAAGAGGTGTGATCTCATCTGCATAATCCCTCAACATTCTGGCAAGTAGCTCATCAGGACCACTAGCTTCATTGATCTCGAGTCCATTTAGTTGTTTGTTAACACCTGGGCTGCTGATGAGAAGGTTCTCAATTGGCTCGTATGGTGAGTGGCCCTTGTCAGGTAGTACCGATGAGTAAAGACTGAAGAAAACTGAGTATTCAGGGCGTTTGCTTTATCTTCATTGGTTGAGTACATTTTACCTTCAACCTTGAGTGTTGGAATACCAGCAGATTCTCTCCTCTGGGCCTTGACGTATCTCCAGAATTTCTTAGGGTCAGACATAAGGCTATTCCCCACCACATCATTCAGATATTCGTTATGGGCTAGTTCTTTCATTCTCTGGACAGATTTTCTTTTCGTCTTGTACGTATCCCAGTCATGTGATGATCTTGTCTGAATTGCTTTCTTGTACAGCATATCCCTTTTGTCCATCTCCCTGGTGATCCTCTTGGTGATGTATGGATGGCTGACCTTGGACTTTGAATTCCGGTGAGGAATGTGGGTCATGATTGAGAGCATGGAATTCTTGAAAAAGAGCCAGTTCTCCTCTACTGTAAACTCATCTGGTTTTCTTTCCATGTACGATGCAGTCATTTGAGAACATCGTGCCTTTATGTCTTGATTGTTTGCTTTGTCATACTGGTAAATTATCCGAACAGGTTTCCTCTGTAGTTCAGGGACGCATATCAATGTCAAAAAGGACAATATGGTGATCACTAATCCCTGGTGTTGTTTGTGTATTGCGCACAATTGCTGGTATAGTTGTAAGGATGAGGTCCAGGACATTTCCAGAGGATGGTCTTGTAGGCTCCTTGCTCAATTGGGTGAGGCTGCATCCATTTACGAAGTTCAGGAAATGTGAATTAACAGCTTGCGTTCTAGGATTGGACGTGGTGAGATCATTCCAGTTGATGTCGGGAAGGAGGGTACCCTAGGTAGTTTCCTGTGCTTTTGCATGATGGCATTGATGCATGTCCAATTTTGCCTCACGACGGCAAGTCGATGCCACGATGCTCAAAATTTTGCAGGACTGTTTTGCGACGACCCCTGATTTGCCAAATTTTCTGTCGTGTCGGGGCACAAATGCGCCATGGGTTCGTTGTGACCAGGCCTTTAAGCCCAAAGTTGGCACAAGGCGATTTTGACAACACTTTTTAAAGACTGGTTGCTCATTCGCCTGTGGCAGAAATACTATGATTTTTTAAATAGGGTATTAGTGTATAGAAAATAAGTTACACTTCATCATGAAATCAATTTAAAAGTCATATTGATTTTGAATTTTTAATTAGGAGCTACCAAAGTTGGGAACACTGTTTGGTATACGCACTGTATATGAATAGTGCACAATGATAGGAATACTCCCTAAAGAGTGGAGATGGGGCACTCTTGTATGCAGGCTAGAAAGTGAGCATGGGTAATAATGATAACATTGTGAAGCACATTTAAGTATTCATGTAATACTTTATTATTATTACTATTATTATGTTCAACTTAATGATTGATAATCTGATTCTTGTAGAATCAGATGACATGTCAATATGACAGTAACAGGTAGTCATGATGTTCGTTACAAACTGAAAAAAGGGAATCCATCTGTGTCAGATAAACAAATTGCGCTGTAAAATCAGAAAATGTAGCAAAATGAAATATTTGCAACTAGTTAATTATGGCCATTTTTGCCTCAAAAAAAATCTGTTACAAATTGCAAAATTGTAGTTTAATTTGTTTTTAACTACGTGTGCTATTCTTGAATATTGGCAAAAACTTTTATGATCAAGAAATTATCTGATTTTAGGTAAAATAGATGTGTAAATAATAAAGAAGTCGATGGTAAAAAATGAGTTAGAAAAAACAGATTGGGGTTAGAAAGGTGAAGGGATAGGTGTAGCAAGAAGAGAATTCAGAAAATGAAAGAGGGGAAGAAGAAATGAAAAATAATTGAAACATGTAAAGGTATTTATAAGATTTTGATGTGACTGTGTCTTATTTGAACTCTACACAGAGCCGTCGACGCTTCTCCCATGCTGTACTAGGAGTGATTGTAACAGCTCTTGGTGTCATCAATCCTATCATGGCTATCTTTAGACCCCACCCTGGTACCCCCAAGTAAGTTCCTTTCTCTCTTGTTAGACCCAACCCTGGTACCCCCAAGTGAGTATCTTTCTCTCTCGTTAGACCCCACCCTTGTACCCCCAAGTGAGTACTTTTCTCTCTCGTTAGACCCCACCCTGGTACCCCTAAGTAATTACCTTTCTCTCTCGTTAGACCCCACCCTGGTACCCCCAAGTGAGTACCTTCTCTCTCGTTAGACCCCACCCTGGTACCCCCGAGTGAGTACCTTTCTCTCTTATTAGACACCACCCTGGTACCCCCAAGTAAGTTCCTCTCTCTCTCTCTCTCTAGACCCCCCCCCCTTCCCCCTGGTTCCCCCAAGTAAGTTCCTTTCTCTCTCGTTAGACCCCCCCCCCCCCCCCCACTCCGTGGTCGGAGGGACCACATTCGTGTTCCCAAAATCTCTGGTAAAGGGGTACATAATAATAATAATAAAAACGTTACTTATAAAGCGCTTACCACCGAAGTCTCTAAGCGCTATACACACAAAATAGACTGATATACAATTACATCTTATACAAAACTAAAAATGCAAATAAACCTACAAATAACAATACATATGGAATACACATCAAAGTGAACAGAGATAATTAATCATCGAACGCAATTTTGAATAAATGTGTCTTGAGACTAGTTTTGAATAGGTTAACGGTTTGACAGTTTTTTACATTTAAAGGTAATTTGTTCCAAAGTTCAGCAGAAGCTTTGCGAAAGGAGCGATTACCATAAGAGAGAGTTGACACAGAAGTAGATACGAGGTTTAATTGTGAAGATGTACTTTTCGCGCGACAAAGTCAGGCCCAAGAATTGTAAAAAAGGGCTTGTATTTGACTTTTCACCCAGAGATTTCTTTAAAAAGGGGGTTTTCTCTCTCTCTCTCTCTCTCTCTCTCTCTCTCTCTCTCTCTCTCTTTGGACTCCTGAGAAATTTAAGAAGGGGGTTATATAATATCTTCAATATCATAGATAGGGGGTCACATTGAGCAGTGGTCCGGATTGAGGGGGATCTCCAAGGAAGTGCTAAAGGGAGGGAACATGAATACATGTACCCTAAATAAGACTGAGTGGGGGGGCCGGGGTTAGACCCCACCTTGGTACCCCCAAGTAAGTTCCTTTCTCTCTCGTTAGACCCCCCCCCCCCCTTCTGGTACTCCCAAGTTAGTGCCTTTCTCTCTTGGTACCACCATATAAGTGCCTCTTCTTTCTTAAGACCCCACCCTGGTATTCCCACGAAAGTGTCTCTCTCTTTAAACCTACCTGGTACTCCCAAGTAAATACCTTTCTCTCTCGTTAAACCCCATCCTGGTACCCCCAGTAAGTTACTTTCTCTCGCTTTAGAACCTACCCTGGTACCCCAAAGTAAATGCCTCTCTTTTTAGATCCCTCACTGGTACTCCCATGTAAGTGCCTTTCTCTCTCGTTAGACCCCATCCTGGCACCCCCCCCCCCCTATTAAGAACATGCCTCTCTCTTAAGACCCCACCTTGGTACCCACAAATAAGTGCCTCTTCTTTATTAAGACCCCACCCTGTTACCCTTAAGAAAGTGTCTCTCTATTTAAACTCACCTGGTACCTCAAAGAAAAAGCCTCTCTCTTTAGACCCCACAATGGTATTCCCACGATAGTGCTAATTTCTCTTTAGACCCCACTTGGCGTCCCCATGAAAGTATCTCTCTCTTTCTTTAGATTCTAACCTGATACTTCCAAGTATGTTCCTCTCTCTTGAGACCTTTTCCAGGTACTCCCCAAAAATAGATTGTACCACCTATGCCTCACTGACAATCACTCTTCAGTCAATCTTTTCATTAGGTGAAGTCCTAAATTAAACACTGGACCCAACATTATACTTAACCTTAACACAATTGATTACAAGCCCCAGCCTTGCTATATCTTTGACAAATAACCTTGAAGGAAATGTCACTGGGGCTAATATTAGATATTTTCAAAAAGTGTAAAGTTTATTACGTGAAATGATCAGTACTCGTGTTTCCCCAAAAACAGTTTTACACCTGCTTGCTACATATATGTTTTAATATGCATCAAATCCAAATTTGATTAACAGCATTCCAATTTTATGATACCTAGATCATTTTCATATGAGAGTTCAAGTATAGGTGTCCCTATTTTTGGCCTGTTTACTGTAACCATTATGAAATGATATTGAAAAGTAGTTAGTTTATCAATTTCTGGTGTTGATAAAGGTTTTATGATATTTTTAAAAATTTGATTAAATGTTGTTTATGTTTTGTATATTTAGACGATCCATCTTCAACTGGGCTCACTGGGCTGTGGGAACCAGCGCATTGATCTTATCATGTAAGTATGGTGTTAGAAGATAGGAACTGTTCGAGGCTTGTTCCCATTATTCTTAGCGCAACTGCTTACCATGTATTACAATGAACAGTTGTTAGACATTGTATCTGTAAGAAGTGCACATAACTTTCAATTACGTCATGAGCAATTGTCAGGTGCCAATCCCCTCCAAGCCCAGGAACTTTTAATTTTTGACAATATTGTATTGACAAGTACCAGTTGGTCCCCTGGAATAACACACATTCTTTTCATTTGTTTCTGTCTATTTGTCAGTTATAACTATAGGTCCAGCTGTGGTGTATTGGCAGGTATTTAAACCAAATAGCCCCTGCAGTAACTTGCAATGTCTGTCATTCAACTCAGTTGTGACAATATTGGATTGGTAGGTACATGTATGTTAACCAAATAGCCCCTGCCGCCACTTGCAATGTCTGTCATTCAACTCAGTTGTGACAATATTGGATTGGTAGGTGCATGTATGTTAACCAAATAGCCCCTGCCATAACCTGCAATGTCTGTCATTCAACTCAGTTGTGACAATATTGGATTGGTAGGTACATGTATGTTAACCAAAAAGCCCCTGCCGTAACCTGCAATGTCTGTCATTCAACTCAGTTGTGACAATATTGGATTGGTAGATATTTCAACCAAATAGCCCCTGCAGTAACCTGCAATGTCTGTCATTCAACTCAGTGGTGACAATATTGGATTGGTAGGTACATGTATATTAACCAAATAGCCCCTGCCGTAACCTGCAATGTCTGTATCAACTCAGTTGTGACAATATTGGATTGGTAGATATTTCAACCAAATAGCCCCTGCAGTAACTTGCAATGTCTGTCATCCAACTCAGTTGTGACAATATTGGATTGGTAGGTATGTTAACAAATAGCCCCTGCCGTAACCTGCAATGCCTGTCATTCAACTCAGTTGTGACAATATTGGATTGGTAGATATTTCAACCAAATAGCCCCTGCAGTAACTTGCAATGTCTGTCATTCAAGTCAGTGGTGACAATATTGGATTGGTAGGTACATGTATTTTAACCAAATAGCCCCTGCAATAACCTGCAATGTCTTCCTTTGTCTTTATCCCTTTCCCAGTCGTGACTATAGGTCTAGCCCTGGTACCTATCGCAGAAATAAACATACTGCCTAACCTTCAGGGCTACACTTTCTGGGTTCTCATCGGGTTCTGTGTGTTCATGTTTGTCATGTGGGTTATCTTTGAAGTAGTCCGATGTTCGACAGACAGTGAAGGTAAGAACAGATGTGGTTTTAGTGGTGTGTGTGTGTGTGTAAGGGAGTCAGGGTGTAATTGATCTTTATTTTATTCATCATAAAAATATTGTACTAATCATATGAAATACTGGCCATATTGGCTTTTTGTTAATAAATTGCACTGATAAACAAATTTTAGAAGTCCATTAAAAAGACATTTTTCAAAATTTTTAGAAAATATGGGCAGTACAGAAATAGGTTGATAATTATTTATACAATCAGACAATGCATTCTTAAAAATAGGTATCGCTTTTGCTAGTTTTAACCCATCTGGGAAAATATCCATATTCATTGAAAAATTAAAATTATCACATACCGTATTTGCTGGCGTAAAGGCGGCAGTATTTTTGGAAGAGAAAATATAAAAAAATCGGGTGCGGCCTTTGCGGCGAAAGAGTAACAAACAAAAATCGCAAGTCAAAACCATGAAAAACAGCACAAATTTGTACATATGGGACAACAATGAATGGTAATGGACATTTCTAGAATAACACATGTCTTACCGACAATTATGTGTTATATTTTTTAAATGAAGGGCAAAGTTATGTCTATCTGGTAAATAAAATTCATAACTTACCAACCAAAATCTACTGGTAGATCTAGATTTAAGTTTTTGCCATGGCTAAAGCAACCTCAATCCTCTCAACTCGCGCGAGCAAAGCTATGGCGCAATACACAAGAGAAAGCTGCAAGAGAAAGCATCAGGGTCGGGATGGCCGAGCGGTCTAAGGCGGTGGTTCGGGTCGGAATCTACATTCGTACACGTGGGTTCGTATCCCGCCTCCGAAATTTTTTTGTTATGCCTCCGCCACAGAAGGTGGTGCCGGAGGCATCATGTTTTCGGGTTGTCCGTCCGTACGTCCGTCCCGTTTGACCGTTATCACAATATCTCAAGAACCATTTAAGATTTAAACTTAAGACTCGGGAATAGTATTTATCACCATAGGAAGACGATCTGATTAGATTTTGGAGTATGTAGGTCAAAGGTCACAGGTCACAGAGGTCAACTTATGAAATTCCTTGTATTGAGTTTGTTAGCGCGATATCTCAAGAACCATTTGAGATTTAAACTTCAAACTTAAGGATAGTATGTATCACCATTGGAAGACGATCTGATTAGATTTTGGAGCACGTATGTCAAAGGTCAAGGGTCACAGAGGTCAACTTATGAAATTCCATACATTGAGATTGTTATCATGATATCTCAAGAACCACTGGAGATTTAAACTTCAAACTTAGTGATAGTGTGTATCACTATAGGAAAACAATCTGATTACATTTTGGAGCACGTAGGTCAAAGGTCAAGGGTCATAGAGGTCAACTTATGAAATTCCATACATTGAGATTGTTATCATGATATCTCAAGAACCACTGGAGATGTAAAAACTTCAAACTTAAGGATAGTATGTATCACCATAGGAAGACGATCTGATTAGATTTTGGAGCACGTAGGTTAAAGGTCAAGGGTCACAGAGGTCAACTTATGAAATTCCATACATTGAGATTGTTATCATAATATCTCAAGAACCACTGGAGATTTAAACTTCAAACTTAATGATAGTGTGTATTACCATAGGAAGACAATCTGATTAGATTTTGGAGCACGTAGGTCAAAGGTCAAGGGTCACAGAGGTCAACTTATGAAATTCCATACATTGAGATCGTTATCGCGATATCTCAAGAACCACTGGAGAATTTTCACTTCAAACTTAATGATAGTATGTATCACCATATCATAATATCTCAAGAACCACTGGAGATTTAAACTTCAAACTTAATGATAGTGTGTATCACCATAGGAAGACAATCTGATTAGATTTTGGAGCACGTAGGTCAAAGGTCAAGGGTCACAGAGGTCAACTTATGAAATTCCATACATTGAGATTGGTATCATGATATCTCAAGAACCACTGGAGATTTAAACTTTAAACTTGTTTAAATTGCTCTATGGCGGAGGCATCATTTTCGACTGCGCGCAGTCAAAATTCCATCTAGTTTTTTTTTTTTTTTTTTTTCTAAAAAATGTCAAAATCAGGGATGCGGCTTATAATAATAATAATAATAATAATAATAGTTTGTCCTTATATAGCGCATATCAGGACCGCAGGCCCTCTCAGTGCGCTTTACAGATATATATTATTACCCTGGTCATCGGATTCATGCTTACCCGCACACAAGGTATGCACATTCTCCACTCCCTGGGGAGCATTCCAGCCAGTCGCCATTTTACAAGCTCCATTGCTAATCAAACCACATTAGCTTTCGCATCCTACCGGGTACCCATTTAACACCTGGGTGGAGAGTGGCAAATGTAGATCAATGTCTTGCCAAAGGACATGAGTGCCGCGGTGGGACTTGAACCGCGGACCTTGTGATCCACAGTCCTCTGACATATCCATTCGACCACGACACCCCATATGCGGCGCTGCGGCCTTATCGCCGGCAAATACGGTTTTACAGAAATCAGTTGTGCTAGTACAAAGTCACATGACATGATTTCATGTCAGCCCCTAAATGATGCTGTTCTCTATTCTCTTAATTTATTTATTTAGATAAAATCCTGAAACTTCAGAAATGCAAATGATACCAGTAACTAAACAGATCCTGTTAACACGCAATTGAATACATTAATATAAAAACAACACTACAACAAAATTAAGGAGGGGGTTTGTGTGTGTGTGGTGCAATCAGGGTCAGGATAGGGCAAGTGGTTTAAGGCTGGAAAAAAAAATTGCAGTGTTGTTCCATCCTAAAGTTTAATAAGTACAAGTATTCTTAATTCTACTAGTGGTCTTTTTTTTATCTTCTCTCTTTGTATATATTTCTAAAAGGTCGCACTAATGATATCCCTCTGAGTGACAAAAATGATACTGTGCAAGCAGCTGATGATACAGGCCCATCGGTAAGTCCACATATCTTTTGTATGCATATCAGGACAATCACCCCCAGAAAATTGCCAATAAGACGCTGGTAATTGTCCAATGGGTAATTGTCCTAGAACCATTTGAGTGTATTGTGTTTGTGAATGTCATGATTATTTCAGACCTATTATAGTATACTTTTACTGTAGCCATTTTCCTAATGTTATTAAAGTCAATGCATACATTAACATGTATGTGAATTGGCTTGATACAAATTATTTTGATTTGCTTACATTAGTTGTTGCTAGGTAGGACAAACATGGCTTGCCTTATCTTATGTAATATATGCAAGTTATATTCTGCATGTTGAGAAACAATTATGTGTAATACATGAAGGTGAATGAAATAATTTGTATCTAGTCATTTTACAAAGATATATGCATTAAATATGGTTTATATATACGAAAGTAGTCTATTTCTCCTGCGATAATTGCTATATAGTAGTAACAATGATGATATTGTTCAATTTATATAGTACACGAAAATTAGAAATTTATATTCAAATCCTTTTAGACGAATATCTGTGGGTCGACACATTTCATAATGATAAATATGTGTTATGCTAAGCTAGAGGGTGCTAGCAGTATAAAAAATTGCATAGCTCAGGAAAGCTTATAAAAGCTATGGAAAAAGTTTAAAAAGAGCTGTGGATAAAAAAATCAAAAGGAAAATGTGCTTCCACAAAAAAATGTAATTAAACACTGGTTCCTGACCCGTCATTATTCCTAGCCCAAATATCAAACTTGACGTGAAAACCTGTCACAAACCAAACCCTAACCGTGTATCTTTGAAGAAAAAGCTCAAAGCAAGTGTCACTACAGCAAAGATCAAATCACTTCATTTGAATAGCACCTGCAGATTCTTCCTCTCTCCTCTGTATACAGTGCGACCCAGAAAAAACGAAACCGAGAATTATTGATGTTTTATCATAACTTAATCACAATTATAATTAATAAATGACACATATTTGTAAAGCTTAGATCCTCCTCTTTCATTTGATGCAACTCATATGATGCATATTTCACGCATGAGTGATTAAAAGCAATTTGAAGGAAGGAAACCAAAAAGTCATTTGGCGGGCGGTATCTGAATTTCGAGGAAAAATTCATATTTCTAGAAAGTTCAGTTTCTGCCGTTCATATGACACCTCAATCAGGAAAAATGAGCAAGGAATAACAAAGTTCTGTTTGTTTAAATTGATGCTTGCATTTCCATAATTTGATTTTAAAATTTTGTTTTCACTGGTTGCCTGCCATAGCAACAAGAAGAATTGAGAAAAGACTTAACTCCGTTTTATTGACAATCAGCCATGCATGAAGTCTTTCGTCTATATCTATAGTCTATGTCTATAGCAAGAATTCTATTTGTACATTAACATCATCATCATTGTTATTATTAGTAGTAGAAGTAGTAGTTAGTATTTAAGATTGGTATCATTATTATTATTATTAATAGTAGTAGTAGTAGTAGCAGTAGTATTATACCAGTATGCAAATTCTTGCATAACAGACTTTGATAAACATTTTCTTTGTAGGGTTGTATATTTTCCAGCATAAGGAATGTTCTTAGGGACTGCTTTCTGTAGCTTCTTTCTTGTTAGTCTGCATTCTGTAATTGTGTTACATCCCATTCCTAGCATCAGTCCTGAATACTCATGTATACATGTGATGAATATGTTCTGAAGCTTCATGTTTCGATAGGCAATGGGAACATGTGAGATGTGAGAGGACAATTTTCTGATTAGCCTCTTTCTGTCATGCTTGGTTTCTTTTGTGCAATCAAATGATGTTAGATTTATGTAAATATCTTCACTCTCAGTTATCTACTTCCATCTATATGCCATCACATATTCAATAGCCAATGGGAATGCTTCTTTTGCTTTGAGTTGATTGTTTAGTGCTTAGCCCCTTCAGCTTGATGGGTTCTTTCATATGTTAATGTAGGTATGGTTGTTTTCTGAGTTCATAATCTGGATTCTGGATGGAGTTGAGCTTGATAATAATAGACTTTCCCATAGCCCCACTTTCCTGTGAGGCATGTTTTATGTAATCAGCAACTCAAAAGCGTGTTGTGTGTACCTGTCATTCGCTGTCAAATGTATCAGCAATATTTTATTCTATGTTCATTATCTATTCACTGAATAGGCTCTGTAAACATTGCTTGTTCGTGGAATTTCTTATAGTATCACTCTGTTTTGAGTTACTCAAATCCATTTGAATAAAGAGGAAATGAATAAGTGAATATCAAAATTATTCTTGAATTAAACTTGAAGTACATTTTTACAGTTGCAAATGTTATTGAATTATTTGTGAAGGAATGTATGGGGGAAAAAGAAAAAGAAAATCAAAAAATTTAGCTGGATGATTGGATGACTCAAAGAATGAGTGAGTGCATGATATGACTTGATGTAATGACTTGCCTTGTTTTATGAATCTTTGATCTGATCTGGATGCATGTTCAACAAAGGGTAATGTATAAAGAGTACTTTGGGAGAAACAGGTGTATTTACACATTCTTGAGGTTATGCTGTAGTGCACATGTATGGCAAAATTTCTTCATGTATTGTTTTATTGCAAGCGCAGTATTATTTGTATGTACATGTAGGATACATATACCAGTTATTTACATTTACAAGTTTATTCTGAGGTATTTTACTTGCAAGATCTGAATATAATGTGTTAAAATTTTCTTGTCAATGCCAGGCACCTAGTTTTAGTTTAAATTGCAAAATCTTTTTTGTTGTTGTCCTTTTACTATTGGTTATCTACAATTCCATATGTATTTTTTTGGGGTTTTTCCTTTCTTTTGGAAATGTCGTTTCATGTTTTGGTTTTTATTTAATTATTGTATTAAAGTGGGTTTTATCATTAGTTGCCTACATAAATATTTACATGATGTAGAACCAATATTTTTAATTTTTTATTCTTATATATATTATTTCTTTTATTTTGTTTTTAACATGGATAATTCGTTTCATTAAACTTACCAAGCGTATTTAATAATGTTACTTTCATATTTTTTATGTAAATTCATTAAATATTTCATCATTTACATGTAATGTGTGTACATTTACATAAATCCATTAATACCTAGAACTAACAACTAATACAAATCTTAATTTATTTTAGAAAGAATTCTGTAGTTAACTTTTAACTACATACCATTGTTGACCATCCACTTTTAACATTTTGTTAGTGATTATAAGGAAATGTAAAATTACATTTTTTCTCAAAATTTTGCATTAACCAAGTAAGAATATTGAAAGATTGACCTACTATGGTGTACTTATCATACAATATTTGATAACTTTTTGCTTTGTGTGGATGCCCAAGACTATCTATTTGTATCAAAATTCAAAGAAGCTGTAATGTACATGTACATGTATTTCATTTCCCACTGTGATTTAGATCTCATTTTCTCGCTTCCTGTATTTCATTACTTGTACCGGTAACCTGATCTGACCTGATCGTGCCATGGTCAATATATCTTTCTCTCTTGCTTAGGGGTATTATCCAAGGTCTTCTCATGAGACATGCCAGACAACAAATGAGGTGCAGTACAACCAAAAACAACCCTTCAAGAATATAAGAAATAATCATACCCCCATGTTTGCATTTTGTGCTTTTCTGTCTCTTCTTTCTTTTATACCCCTCTCCTCTCTCCCCCCCCCCCCCTCTCTCTCTCTCTCTCTCTCTCTCTCTCTCTTGCTTGTTTTCCATCTTGTTCCTCATGTTAGATAACATCTTAAGACTGTCTACTATATGAATTAGAAAGGGGGTCAAGTGGGAAAGATCTGTGTGGCACATACATAATAATAATAATAATATTTAATTTTGATATAGCGCTTGATACAAATGTCTCTAAGCGCTTTACAAATATACTATTACCCAGGTCATTAGATTGAGTGCTTGCCTGCACACAACGTGTGCACAATCTCCACTACCTGGGGAGCATTTATATATGCTAAGTCATGAACAATTCTTCCAGAAAATTTTATTTTGCAATAATGAATCAATAATATAAATACAGACAGACTATCTTTAAATTTAGGTATGAAAAACAAAAATGAGCTTTGCTTTTTTTTTTTTTTTGGGGGGGGGGCACAATGATTCCTACACATTTAATTACATGTATGTACATGCATACCCAAATAAGAAACAAAAGTTGTTGGAAGACAAACACACAGCCTTAACTAGACCCCCTTTTATCATAAAGTTTGGACATGCCACTTTTTCACTTTTTTTTATTGCTGATTTCATTTGATGTGCTGTAACTATTCCACATAGATTAAAATAATTTGAAGGTTTTTCCTTGTTTCATTTTACGTTGATAAAAGTTTTAATGCAAAGTGTCTGAGAGTGAGAGAAGGTTTCATTCATGTTTTAATCTTTTCATTATCATTTATGGAGGCTTATTACAATCTATCTGCTGGCTAAAACTAATAATCAGTCGCACACCCAGCATCTGTTGGAAAAAAAAATGTTGCAAATATGGTGGCAGAGTAAACTTTGAGAAAGAAAGATTCACTTTTGCACAATTTGATATTCTTTGAAGTATTTAACTATCATTATATGCAGTTTCGATCTGAGAGGCCAAATTTCCTTTGCAATATGTATTTTTGAAGATTTACAAATTACAAAAGTTTAGTCAAGTAACTTTCACAAAAGTCAGTTACATTTATTGATTATCAATACTCTTTTATTTTTCTTTATACAGCAATTAAGCAAAATGTTGGCCAAAATCTAGCTTTCTTTGACGGTGACAGATATTGTTTGGCTGCACGAAAGGATAGATTAATAGCAAATGAGGTGTCATGAATCAAACTTCAAAGTCCCTTTCTCTGAAAAAGGGAATTATTGATTGCTGTTAACTAAAGCTGTTAATCATCAAGAATCTGAGAATCACAAGTTATAGAAATGCGCATCAAAAGAAGAGAGTATCCATTTTGTGCCAACATATCCCTGTTCTTTTCTAAAACAGT